CCCCCTAGTGGGCGTTCTTTACAAATTTCCATGAGGCACGGTTCCTTTGACTTTTTTGTTCCTATCAATATGCTGTACAGCTCTGTTAAAGTCCCAATGGTAAGATTTACCCTCCGAATGAAGAGGTGGCGACCCCCCCAAACTGTAGCCCCTGTGCGAACAATAAAGTCAAAGGAACCATACCCCTACTCGCGATCCTTCGCGAGATATAAGCCCCTGAAATAATAAATTCCTATTACAAATATACTGAATTATTTATATTGTTATATTGACCAAATAATAATTTATGGGCCAAATGAATAATAATAATTCATATTGTTAATTTAAATAAGAATTAAAATTGTTAATTTGAATGTTTCAAATATGACACACGATAGGGGCGCCTCTAGTGTCCGTTATCAAACGGTTATGGGACAGACGGACACTTTGAATGGGTTATATATATAGATTGAACACACACAAAAAATAAAAATTTGTTTAGTCTTTAATGTCCTTTCACAATTACAGGAATGTGTATATGTCTTCAATATTGTATATTTTGTACATTTTTTAAGTATATATTTTATCAAGATTTTCAGAATATCTTTCATTACAATTTCATCATTGTTGTTTTTATATATTTGTTGTTATTATGATATGCTATGTTACTTTGATATTTTAATGGGATTCATTTTATGTTTGTTGTATTAGAGGGCAGCAATTATTGTCTTAGTGACTAGCTATATTTCACAAATAAATAAATAAATAGAATAGTCATATGATATAAGTTGGAGAGATTGCAATGACTGACTCGTCTTAAGGTTCATTTGTTTGTAGATCACATTTTGTGCATGCAAGAACTGGATGTTTTAATAAAGCAACCAGCTAAATTCTTTTTAATGTTGTTTTTGAAAAAAAAAAATATTATACTGTTACATTTTAATAACTTCTGATAATTCTCATCTATATTTGAAAACAAAAATCTATTAAGATATCCTTATCTTCTAGATTTTCATTTTATTCAAACAACCAGTTTTTTCTTTTTCAAATTTGTAAATAGGACAAAGTATAGTCTTATGAATGTCCTTGATCATATCAAACATTTCACTACCAGTTTTTCTGGAATTGGTTTCCAGAAAATTTTACAGCCTTTAGTTCAGATTTAAAATTTGTTATGGATTTATTAAAACTGTATTTAGACAGTGACAATTAATGGGTAATTGTGAACTAAATTAGATTTGTAGAATTTTCTAAATATATCTAACAATGAGCTTCAAATTGTCAGACTAAGTTGCAAATTAAAGTTGTTATATTGTTATCACTCTTATACTTTAAAAAATCTCTTATGTAAAGTTTAATTAACTAAATTTCTTGAAGACATTACAAATAAATAAACAAACAATTATATGTAAATTGAAAAATTCTATTGTTGTTAAGGTTGTAAATTGAAAAAAATGCTGGATCTAAAATCACTAAAAAGTGATTTTAGATCCAGCATTTTTTTGTGTTTAAGAAGAAAGTTAATATGACTTAATATCCTGTTTTTATTTAAAATAAAATAAAAAAATTAATTAATTAAAAATGCATGTAAATTTAATAAATGACTGAAATAAAGTATTGTTATGACTAATAGTACAATATTCAAATAAATTATTGAAATATATGTTTAAAATTATTTCTATTAAATATACATTATAAATGGTGTAAGGCTACACATACCAGTTAAATTTTGTTGCTGTAATTAAATACTTAAATTTAGATGCATTTATTGAAACAAACAACAATTTTAAAAATAAATACATCTTTTACTATAAAAATATATTTTTTTTTATATTGAAGTCATGTAGATATCATTGGTCCTGTAATATTTTTTATATTGTGTACAGTATGTTTAGAGTATTGACTGAAAAATAAATATAGTGGAATCTTAAACATTCAGAAATATGTGAACTGAAACCATTATAGATAACCAAATATCATAGATGAATATTCAAAAATGCTTTGCTTATATTATTCATATTGTATTTGTATTTCAATTAGTGCATTATGTATTATATGAAATAATACATTATTTACTGAATGTATAAGCTTAAAAATAGTGTAAAAATATACTAAAAGTTATAAAATTCTTCAAAAGTTCATCTTTGGATGAATTTTATTAAACTGAACTTAAAGTACAAGTGTTTATATTTTTTTCAATTTAATGGAAAAAGTTTAAATACAGTTTATCAATATCTAATTATTTGCTTACATCTTCTAAATTTTTACATTTATATTTTTTAGGCATGTGGAGATGCAAAATCTAAACCTTCCTTCCTGTCTGATAAAAATTTGGATTCTGCCATAAAGCATGTTGTCCGAAGATTTCCAAATATTGACATTAGAGGAAGTAGTGTAAGTTGAATCAGATTAATTGTAAACAGCATTGTGATTTAAGAAATATTTTCCAGTTATTAAGACTTAAGATTTTCTTTTTTATATATAAAGGTGAAGATTATTTTCTGAACCTAAACTTTATAATATTAAATAAAAATCAGTTATTTAAACATGTAATGTATTAATATAGTAATTTAAACTATTTCAGTCTTTGTTTTAAAATCAAAATTCAATTTGCCAGACAAACTTCATTCCACTATCATTTAATGATAAAACAGGCAAAAGACAAATCTATACACTATATACATGTGAAAAAGACAAAAATATAATTATAACACTTATTCGATTCTCTTTCTTATAAACAAATAATAATAATAATAATTATTATTATTATTATTTTTTATGTTTGTAAATAGTTTTTAATCCATGTTGTAGACTAGAATTATCTTTTAATTTAAGATTCAGTCAAAGTTAAGATTAATTACAATTACAATTTTTAAAATTCAAATAATCATTCAGCAGATCTGCTACTAAAACTTTGATAAGTTGTTACAATCAAAATATCATCACATTTTGTAAATGTTAATCATAATTTATAATTTATTTAAACTCAAAATATTCTATTTGTTAAATAGGATTTAAATTAACTTTTTGAATATGTTTTATGCTGAAATATAAACAATATACAATCATATTAAAGTAACAATTTAATAATTTTTTTTAAATACTGAAAAATTATTTAGAAGTCATTAAGTATTCATCTTCTGATAAAATATAGTTATCAACACTTCATTTACTTAAAAAAAGTTAATTTAAAGGTTTTTTGGAGATACTTTTAAGGTTACTTTGTAATATATATATATATTTTTTCAAATCAGTATCTTGTTAAAATTTTTTGAATTAATATTGCTTTTTAACTTGAGTTGAACGACAAAATTGTAAATATGTTGTACTTAGAGTAGCACAAATACAAATCTGTTGTAAAAAAGTACTTTACACTGCTTAATTTTATGTTGTATAATCTTATCTTTAAAAAATATGTATAAAATATACAGTACTAGTAGCCCTGGACGCCCCCTAGCCTCAAATTTCAATGAGGCTAATTTCAAATTTCAATCAAACCGTGCCTCAAATTTCTATGAGGCACGGTTCCTTTGACTTTTTTGTTCCTATCAATATGCTGTACAGCTCTGTTAAAGTCCCAATGGTAAGATTTACCCTCCGAATGAAGAGGTGGCGACCCCCCCAAACTGTAGCCCGTGCGAACAATAAAGTAAAAGGAACCATACCCCTACTCGCGATCCTTCGCGAGATATAAGCCCCTGAAATAATAAATTCCTATTACAAATATACTGAATTATTTATATTGTTATATTGACCAAATAATAATTTATGGGCCAAATGAATAATAATAATTCATATTGTTAATTTAAATAAGAATTAAAATTGTTAATTTGAATGTTTGAAATATGACACACGATAGGGGCGCCTCTAGTGTCCGTTATCAAACGGTTACGGGACAGACGGACACTTTGAATGGGTTATATATATAGATTGAACACACACAAAAAATAAAAATTTGTTTAGTCTTTAATGTCCTTTCACAATTACAGGAATGTGTATATGTCTTCAATATTGTATATTTTGTACATTTTTTAAGTATATATTTTATCAAGATTTTCAGAATATCTTTCATTACAATTTCATCATTGTTGTTTTTATATATTTGTTGTTATTATGATATGCTATGTTACTTTGATATTTTAATGGGATTCATTTTATGTTTGTTGTATTAGAGGGCAGCAATTATTGTCTTAGTGACTAGCTATATTTCACAAATAAATAAATAAATAGAATAGTCATATGATATAAGTTGGAGAGATTGCAATGACTGACTCGTCTTAAGGTTCATTTGTTTGTAGATCACATTTTGTGCATGCAAGAACTGGATGTTTTAATAAAGCAACCAGCTAAATTCTTTTTAATGTTGTTTTTGAAAAAAAAAAATATTATACTGTTACATTTTAATAACTTCTGATAATTCTCATCTATATTTGAAAACAAAAATCTATTAAGATATCCTTATCTTCTAGATTTTCATTTTATTCAAACAACCAGTTTTTTCTTTTTCAAATTTGTAAATAGGACAAAGTATAGTCTTATGAATGTCCTTGATCATATCAAACATTTCACTACCAGTTTTTCTGGAATTGGTTTCCAGAAAATTTTACAGCCTTTAGTTCAGATTTAAAATTTGTTATGGATTTATTAAAACTGTATTTAGACAGTGACAATTAATGGGTAATTGTGAACTAAATTAGATTTGTAGAATTTTCTAAATATATCTAACAATGAGCTTCAAATTGTCAGACTAAGTTGCAAATTAAAGTTGTTATATTGTTATCACTCTTATACTTTAAAAAATCTCTTATGTAAAGTTTAATTAACTAAATTTCTTGAAGACATTACAAATAAATAAACAAACAATTATATGTAAATTGAAAAATTCTATTGTTGTTAAGGTTGTAAATTGAAAAAAATGCTGGATCTAAAATCACTAAAAAGTGATTTTAGATCCAGCATTTTTTTGTGTTTAAGAAGAAAGTTAATATGACTTAATATCCTGTTTTTATTTAAAATAAAATAAAAAAATTAATTAATTAAAAATGCATGTAAATTTAATAAATGACTGAAATAAAGTATTGTTATGACTAATAGTACAATATTCAAATAAATTATTGAAATATATGTTTAAAATTATTTCTATTAAATATACATTATAAATGGTGTAAGGCTACACATACCAGTTAAATTTTGTTGCTGTAATTAAATACTTAAATTTAGATGCATTTATTGAAACAAACAACAATTTTAAAAATAAATACATCTTTTACTATAAAAATATATTTTTTTTTATATTGAAGTCATGTAGATATCATTGGTCCTGTAATATTTTTTATATTGTGTACAGTATGTTTAGAGTATTGACTGAAAAATAAATATAGTGGAATCTTAAACATTCAGAAATATGTGAACTGAAACCATTATAGATAACCAAATATCATAGATGAATATTCAAAAATGCTTTGCTTATATTATTCATATTGTATTTGTATTTCAATTAGTGCATTATGTATTATATGAAATAATACATTATTTACTGAATGTATAAGCTTAAAAATAGTGTAAAAATATACTAAAAGTTATAAAATTCTTCAAAAGTTCATCTTTGGATGAATTTTATTAAACTGAACTTAAAGTACAAGTGTTTATATTTTTTTCAATTTAATGGAAAAAGTTTAAATACAGTTTATCAATATCTAATTATTTGCTTACATCTTCTAAATTTTTACATTTATATTTTTTAGGCATGTGGAGATGCAAAATCTAAACCTTCCTTCCTGTCTGATAAAAATTTGGATTCTGCCATAAAGCATGTTGTCCGAAGATTTCCAAATATTGACATTAGAGGAAGTAGTGTAAGTTGAATCAGATTAATTGTAAACAGCATTGTGATTTAAGAAATATTTTCCAGTTATTAAGACTTAAGATTTTCTTTTTTATATATAAAGGTGAAGATTATTTTCTGAACCTAAACTTTATAATATTAAATAAAAATCAGTTATTTAAACATGTAATGTATTAATATAGTAATTTAAACTATTTCAGTCTTTGTTTTAAAATCAAAATTCAATTTGCCAGACAAACTTCATTCCACTATCATTTAATGATAAAACAGGCAAAAGACAAATCTATACACTATATACATGTGAAAAAGACAAAAATATAATTATAACACTTATTCGATTCTCTTTCATATGTTATTGTACAATCATTTCACAATAAATAAAAATGTTTATGTTCATTTTCATTTATTCATTAAAATGAATTCATTATTCATGTTTATTTAAAAATCATATACATAGTTAAATTATTATACAAAATTATATACACAAGTATTTTCATATGCGCATTTATACTTGAACTAGTTTTTGAATGCATTATTTATTATATGAGATATAAAAAAAAAAAAATGGAATAATAAAAATTATGGATACATAAATGAAATCCTCAGAATATTAAAACTTTTTATTTCTAAATTATTCTAATAAAACTACTTGTTTTGATCAGAATAATGTTTGTCTTGAACTGTTTAGCAAAGAAGATAAAAATATACAAAGTAGAAGAAATTTTCCTGTTAAGAATTGTATTGCATTGGAATTATGAATTAAAAATGTAATCTTGATAATTATCAAGTAGATAGTTACATGCTTGCCTGAAAATTTGTTTCACAGGCTAAGTACTTTAATTTTTTGGTTAATTGTTTTTTGCTTATGTAAAATTTTCAATAAATTTTTGAATGAAATATGTGACAGTTATGAATGTACATTAACACAAAAACGACTAAAAGGAAATTAAGATACAAATGAATATAATGTGAGAGGAATTTTTTCAATGAAAGGCCTCTCTCAAAAGACAAAACAACTAACAACAAAATTATCTATGAAATTAAAAAAATTACTTATTGGATTTTAAAAAATTAGAAAATTCAATTTTTTCATGTTTTACAATGATTTGTATATTGAAAATATTGAAAATATAATATTTAAACAAAATTCTTTATTTAAAAACTCTTTATTAATAAATGTATAATTTAATCACAGAATGAAAGTTCTTGCTAATTATATAGATTAAAGTAGACAATTAAAGTAAGATAATTATATTACTCTAATAGTGATATAATGATTATTCTCATTTTTGTTTAAATGATTTAGCTTTAATACATGTTAATTTTATTTTCAGAGCCAACTTGGAAATGTGTATAATATACGTCAGGAAATAATGAAAAGTTTATCACTTTATTACTATACTTTTGTTGATTTACTTGATTTTAAGGTATTTGTTTTTAATACTTCCAAATTTTAATGATTAATTAAAATTATATTGGGTTATTGATCAATAATATATTTAGAATTGAAACAATTTGATAATAAATTGTAATTATTCTATTAAAATACTAGTACTCATCTAATATAACTTGCAAAGCATTCATTCATCACATGAGAGTTATTGGTTTGAATTTCCTTTTTGGTTATTGTTCTTTTAAATTTAATTATCACAAATTATACAGTTATTAAATTTGCTATGAGATAATAAGCTTGTTTGTGATGTAAAATTGTTTTAATTAATTAATTATTATCCAATAGCCCAGCATAATTTCAGCAAATTATTAAATTTTAAATAATTACTAAATTTTTTTAATGAGATTATACTTAAAATTTCCTTTTATATACAAATATAATTAAAATTATCCAAGTTTATTAAATAAAGAAAATATTATAAGTTTTCAAGAGTTGATTTTTTTTAATCTTTATTTATTAAAACTGTGAATAAAAGACATGCTAAAAGAACTCATACAAAGTTTTATTAATTTTGAATAAAAATTTTAGTATAAATAATAACACAGTATAAACTCAATTAAATGTTTTCAAGTAACCTTTATTTTTTGACTTTTGTACACAATTTTAGGAATATTTATGTTAAATAGTCAGGAACTACTTATATCTAATGATATGGAATTCAAAGAGAAATTAAATGTAAGGGTTTTTCTAAGAACATTACTGCATTTGAAATAATGTTTATATATGTATACAAAGGATTTAAAATTCTTATTATTTAAAGCTTACATGTAATTTCATACGTATAGAGTTTAATCATAATTCTTTAATTTCTTTAAAATTCCTAAGTCATATGAATTAAAGAATTTTATGAAAATTATTTATTTATTATTAAATTATACAAATAATACTTTAATTCATTAAATTGTAATTAAGTTAAACACTAGTAAATACTGTAATTACCAATGTTCATAATTTAATGATTTCAATGATTATTAACAATATAACTAAACTTATTTGGAGTTTTATCCACTCATCCACTAACACCAGTAAAGTTGATTATAGATCTGCACCTTATCAATAGGCTGGCCTTATGGAGTTTTCTGGGTTTTATTCCTATGTCTAACTTTTAAATAGGGACCAGGTTCCCATAGAAAATCTTGGGAGGCATCTTCTCTTAGCAGATCACTTGTTTTATATTGCTTTATCCCTTCTAAACCAAACAAATATAACTAAAAGTTGAGATACATGCATATACATTCTTATATGAGATATAATATATATTTATATACATGGATTTAAACCTTAAACTGATTATTTAAATTATAATTTTCTTTGAGCTTGAAGTTGATTTTACTATTTTAAATGTGAAAAATTTGTTTGTTCAGTATTTTAGTTTAATCATTCTTTTTCATTTTTAGTTCTAAAGTAAAATATTAAAAAATTGTCAGTTTAAGAAATTTTTATCAAATTCAATTTATGATATAATTTCTACAACTAACAATTTTTTAAATATCTTACATTTATTACACAATAACAGGAAAAACACAATAAACAGAATAGAACAGAATTTGTTTTATATGTACAGTAGAGCCTCGATTATCCGACTCAATTGGGGACTGGGGTTGGTTGGATAATTGAAAAGTCGGATAACCGAAAAGTATGAAAAAATCTATTATTAGTGTAGTATATTATTATATCCCATGTAATTAGTATATTAGTATATTGCTAATAACCTACTTTGCGTTGAATTTTCATCGATGTTAAGCCTAACAAAAATTTTTTAAAATAATAATCGTCGCTATTGTATTGTTAAAAATTAGAAAATTAAGCCTCGTTTAAATACTGGCTCCCTTTCATGGTCGAATGAGTGTTGCCAGCTAAAACACGTAAAAATAATATTAAAGTAGTCAAGACATAGCCAAATAATGTAGCGCCACATCACTAGCGGACATTTGAAATTTGCCTACTAGGACAGTCGGTTAATCGAGGTGTTGGTTAATCGGGGGTCGGATAATCGAGGCTCTACTGTATTATTTTATAGGCTGAAGCTGATCTACAAATGTATTGAAAATGTCTATTATTTTAATTTCTGTGTATTGTAAAGTAGTACAGTTTTGTTTTTTGTAATTTATAACTCTAATTCATAAATAAATATAAATAAATTCATAGTTATAAATTTTTGGTGAAAATATTACATTGTTTATCTAGATATTAATGAGAAATGATGCTTTTGTATTTGAAAGATAATAACATTATTGGAATGATTAATAGCTTATGCCTATTAAATTATGACAATTAAGTTTAACAAAATATTGTTTTATTATTGATAGATTTATAGACAATAAAATTTTTCAGGATCATGTATGTGAACTATTAACAACAATGGATGCTTGTCAATTACAATTGGATATAGTAAGTGAATTTTAAAATATTTCTAACAATTCAGATAGCTTTATTTATATTGTATTTAGTCATCTATACTAGTTGTAAATGAAAATTTTGTTTATTTTAAAAAAATTTTTTCATAAAGGAATATTTGCATAAAACATTAATTTTAAAGAAGAAAAAGAAAATTATTTAATATATTTAGAATTGTGTTATAATTATATTTGAAACTATAGAAAAATTCTATATAATTGAAATTTATGAATGTAAATGGAAAAATTTTTATTGTCTTTGATTATGTTATAAAAAAAATCTAGCAACAAGTGGTATAACTTTCCTGGCTGTTGAGATTTTATTTAAAAAATAAATTTTATATTCATAAACTGTTTAATATAATTATTAAAATGGAACAGATATAACAGTGAGTAAAAGTGTCTTCTTTTAATAGTGAGAGTAGTGATCTTTATTACATCTTTCTTAATTATCCACAATAAATAGAGACCAAGATTAAAACAGAATTGTTATAATCTTGGTCTGTTTATTGTGGATAATTAAGAAAAATATAATAAAGATCACTACTCTCACTATTAAAAGAAGAAACTTTTGTATTGTTAATCATAATAAATAAAATTGTGTGCACGTTATCTGTTATGATAGTTTGTTGTAAAAAATTTTTTATATTTTTAATTATTGTAAAATGGCAAAAGGCTTAATTTTGAGGATATTGATGAGTTTCATAAAAATGTAAATGCTAATAACAAATAACATTATTAACTCCACACTCCTCGACCTTTAACAAGCAAAATTTAATATCATCAATGCCCTTATACACAAGCTACCATGCCAAATTTTATTTTTTAATCTTTATCCCATCTTGAGATATTAAATGAAATAGATGCCAACACACATACATGTCTATGGAATCTATGGAACTTTTTTGTTGTTGTTTTTTTTTTTACGTTTTTGAGTTCAGCAGGTCTCAAAACATGAAGATTTGCAAAAAAGCTTGGCAAGTCAAATTTTAAACAAAATCAATACTTTCCCTTGTTATGTATACATAATAGCCATGAAAGTAAAAAGTAATACAGTCAAATCTTAGGTTTCAAACTTAAGTTTGTTAAATTTGTTTGTTTTAATTATAAATTACTGCTATATTAACATATTAATTTTAAGAATTTTTTTAAATGATTGTAGAAAATATGATGCTAAAAGAGAAAGTGTTTTTATATAATTATTTACACTTTTCCTTGTAAATGTATAGTATTATACACATTACATATACAGTTCCTTGTCTGGTTATAGTAATTTACTTGCATTTTGTTTCTTTATTTTTAGGTTAAAAGTTTTTTTATGTTAATGTTTACATAAATTAGAAATTATTTAAGATACTTAAAATCAAGTTTAATATGACAATTAAATATCTGAAATTTAATTCACATTTCAAATAATAAATTTTTTTCAAGGAAATGATTCAGAATTTTAAATTAAATCTGATAAATAACAGTTTTCATTTTATTTAAAATTTTTGATATTAGTTTTAAATTAATATCAAAACTTAATTTAAAATAATTGTAAATTCTAAAACCAGCATAAATCTAGCTTTATATATTTAGATTTAAGTTAAAAAGCATATTTTATAAAACTAATTTCCATTTTAAGTTTTAAAAGAAACAATTAAGTGAGATAAATTCTAACAAGTATGCCAAATGACTGCCAGATTGCATTGGGCTACTTCTCAACTATTATTTTTAATTAATTTCTAAATAATTTGTTACTAGAGGCGGACATTATGTACCTTCTCTTATTAAATTTAGTAATTATAATTAAATGAATAGTTTATAAATAATTTAAAGTAATCATGGAGAAGTAGCCCGATTTAATCTGGCAGTTGTTTGGCATATTATAATATATAAGGCATGCAATGCCAAAAAAACAAATTTTTCAAGAGAGGTAAAAAAATATTTTTTCTAGTGAATTCATTTCAATTTTACAATAAAATGGTAAAAAACTCACTAGGTTGCAAATTCTCTGGAATATCAAAATGATGTAAATATTGATATAAGCTGTAATGTTTCAAGCACCAATGGTCACATGACTTGCACTTTGGTGCTTTTAAATGTTATGGCTTCACATAAATTCAACTTTAAAGTACAGCCACTTACAGTAGTGCCAATATGGCCACAATATTTTTTTTTTGCAGCAGAAAATATTATATTTAGAATTCAATTCTTCAACAAAATGTATTATAAGAAAAATGGCATTTACAATGTTATGACATTGCATGCTTTATACATTGGGTTTTGGAATGTTTGTATGTAAATTCTAATTTTAAAATATTTTTGAAAAATTTTTAAAATAATTTAAAATTAATAATTAATCTATTTTTTTTAAAACAAGTATACATATATGGAAATAAACTATACTTACTAAAATGTGTTTTTTTTAATTATCAATAATATAAAAAACTTTTATATAGAATTTTTTAAATAAATAAACATGCTTTAATTTATAGGAAATTACATATGACAAGCTAATATTATTAATACAATGTCTTCAAAAAGAATGCTAACATTTTAAATTACTGTAATTATGTTAATTATTACCTGAGAAGTAATTGGTGCACATCAGTTGATAGAGTAAATGTTTGAGTTTTGCCTACTATCTGCATTCAAATGACTTTTTGTCTACTGTGTCTAGAAAACATTGAAAATCATGTTGACAATGACTGATTTCTGCTTTGTAAATTGCAGAACATAAATTGCTTTCTCTGTTGCAGAGTCACCATTTTTGTTTACAGCACTTCCTAGAGGCAGCAGACAAAAAAGACATATGCAGATATATATATATATATTCGATGTTAAGCCTAAC